GTCCATCCATCCATCCATCCATCCATCCATCCATCCATCCATCCACCCATGCATTCGTCCTTTTTCGGCTTCTTCCTTTTGGGGTCATGGGGGTCACTGGTGCCCATATCCAGCAGTCACTGTGGGAGAGGCAGGATACACCCTGGACATGTCTCCAGTCCATCACAGAGACACATAGAGACAAACAACCATTCACCCTCTCTCACCTAGAGACAATTTAGAGTTACCAATCAGTCTAATGTGCATGTTTTTGGTCTGTGGGAGGAAACTGGAGTACCCGGAGAAAACCCACGCATGGAGAGAACATGCAAACTCCACCCAGAAATACCCCAGGATTCAATCTGGCGACCTTCTCGTTGAGAGGCGGCAGCTCTACCAACTGCGCCACTGTGCCGCCTTACACACACTTATCATGTTGCAAATGTATTTCTTACAAACTGTAAAACAGACAACACACAGTGTTCTGTGTTTGTGTGCGTTTACCTGAAGGAGCAGATGATGACGGTGCTGCTGAGCAGGGTGATGAGCGACAGACTGTGGCCCAGCGTGGACAAAATCTGCACCATTTTGTAGAAGACCAGCTGCGCACAGACATAAACACACGACAATAACTTCTGGTCCTTTGAATAAGAAACAATAGGAGCTTCCATCAAATCTGTCCAGAAAATATGAAGCGTAGCTGAGCTGAGCGCTGCAGGTCACATTGTGTTTCAGGTCCTCCAGTGAAAATGGCTTTTTGCATTTGAACTGTGGCCTCCGGCACGGATTCTGCCAAGGCTGCAATTTAATTTACCTCATGATTGTTTCTGAGAACAGACACACGTGCTGCTAAATGCAAAAACCTTTATGACCTGCTGCTGAAGGCCAAGTTATAATGGCTTTTACTTGTATCTGTGTTCATTTGCTGTCTGTTAGCAGAATATCACATGAACCACCAGACAGATTTTAATGAAGTTCTCAAAAAAAATGTTACTGGATATACATTTATACCTAATTGGCTTTTGTAGTTAATCCAGTTTAAGATGGTTACCACAGCCAAACCACAAAAAGAGTTATAACTTGGCCAACTTTACAGATATTGAGCAAAATTTTGGTCTGGTTGTAGCTGAGACTGATCCCCAAAACATAGTCAGGACTAGAGCCTGACCAGTTATCAGTGGGAGAGATGTTTGATGTTGATACAGGCGTTTGGGGACCTTTTGATATCTGTGATAACTGTTGCATTATGCGCTGAAATAAACTTTTAATTTTCACCTCTAAAACACTGGGAACAAGCCGTGTCCTTACTGGCAAAAGGTGTAATTGTACAATGTGTCCAGCAGAGGGCGCACGTGGACTACTTTCAAGTCATGGCCGTTCACTTAAGTTTCACTTTAACTTTCATGTTCAGCACAGCCAAAGCAGTGAACAATACTGTGTAGCATATTTGGCTGAACAGCGCATGGAAAGTTTATTTTAACTGATCTGTAAAATAAAATAAAAAACCAACTTTAATTAACAATTAGCTACGTGCCTCTCAAGTTAGCAAGCTATCATTAGATAACCTAGCATAGGCTGTTGCCTTGTAAAACTTTATCCAGAACAGTAAATCAAACGTAGCGGTAAAATAGATCAGTTAGTAACTTTATCTTTGTCGTCCTCAATGAAATGTATTGTTTGTCTAAAATCTTTACTTCTTCTGTGGTCAAAACTAATTAGACCTTCACCGTTCATGACTGACTGAAGAACAACTTTAAAAATGATGCAGAAAAACTGCTCCATGCATTTGTCACGTTTAGACTGGACTATTGCAGTGGTTTATTATCTGGGTGTCCAAATACTTCTTTAAAACGTCTTCAGTTGATCCAAAATGCTGCTGCCATAGTCTTAACTGGAGTTACTGGGAGAGATCATCTCTCTCCAGTTTTAGCTTCTCTCCATTGGCTCCCTGTCAAATCCAGCATAAAATTCAAAATCTAACTTCTAACCTACAAAGCTCTCAACAACCTAGCTCTATCTTATATTACAGATCTTATTGTTCCATATTTTCCTAACAGAGCACTTCGCTCTCAGACTGCAGGTTTACGTGTGGTTCCTAGAGTTTCAAAAACCAAAACGGGAGGCAGATCTTTCAGTTATCAGACTCCTCTCTTGTGGAACCAACTTCCAATCTCTGTCCGTGAGGCTGACACATTATCCAGTTTTAAAACTAGGATTAAGACTTTCCTTTTTGATAAATCCTATAGTTAGGGTCGGCTTGGGTTTCCTGAGCTGTCCCTTAGTTATGCTGCTATAGGCTTAGACTGCTGGAGGACAAACTGACCACAATTTTCACTCTGCTACTGTCTTTACTTACTCTGCTCAACCTGTTTTGTATTTGTAATTATTTTTATATCCTTAACTTGTGTTTTTTTTTTGTCTTTCAGGTACATCTGGACCTATACCTGGACCTGAACCTGGACCTATAACTGGACCTGGACCTGGACCTATAACTGGACCTGGACCTATACCTGGACCTATACCTGGACCTATACCTGAACTTGACCTAAACCTGGACCTATACCTGGACCTGGACTTATACCTGGACCTACCATTCTGTGTTCGTCTGTCTCTCCTTCCTGTCTTCTCAACCAGCCGGTCAGAGCAGATGGTCTCTTGTCCTGAGCTGGTTCTGCTGGAGGTTTCTTCCTGTTAAAAGGGAGTTTTTCTTTCCACTGTCTCCTTTGTGCTTGCTCAGGACGGAAGACTGTGATGAAGTGAAGATTCAACTTGTCTGCTGGATTCCTTAGATAGAGAACTTTACTAATTGGCTTCTATGTGAATGTTCCTGTAA